GAAGAGGAAACAGCATGGAAAGAGTCTGAGTCTGAGGGGGAAGGGCTCAGAGGTAACTGGTTGGGCAGCTGGGTCAGGGGAACACAGCAGGCAGAAGCAGCCTTGGAGACTGGGTGAAAGGTCAGGGTCAAGTCTAAGCAGGAAACCCCTTGGGCTTCTGACTCGCCAGTAACCCAGGTTACCTCTGATTCCTTGGGAGAAGGCTGACTGACCTGGGCCAAGGAGGAAGGGGGGTGGTCCTAGCCCACCAGTAGGGCATACGGGTGGGGTGCTCAAGGGTGAGGCTGGATTACCCACAGCTCAGCCTGGGCCAGGCTGGTTTCAATCCCAAGAGAACTCCCTTCTCTGGGGACCAACCAAGAATTATTATAATAACCACTCCATCTTCACTGTTCATCCAACTAGGAAAGTGATTTTAGTTTTATTAAAATATGCAGCATATATAGCACTTACTATACACCAGGCATAATTCTAAAGATGTCCTAAACATTAACTCTTAATCCTTACAAACACCTATGAGGTATAATCCTCATTTTATTATTTATTTACTTACTTATTTTTATATAATCCCCATTTTACAGGTGAGGAAACTAAGGCCTATAATTTAAGTAACTTGCCTAAAGTCATAAAATAAAGAAGTGTGGGACATGGGATCCTAGGCTCCAGTATCCATGTGTTTAACCACTATGCTTTGCTAGTGGGGGCAAGAATACATACTCTGCTCTAAAAACTCCCACTTTATAGATGGAAAAACAGGCCTAGCCAGATGAAGGGAGTGGCTACCTCATAGGGAAGTAGGGAGGACAGATCCCTTGAGGAAAGCAGGACTCCTGATCCTAGTCTAGGCTCTGTCTTGGTCCCTACTGCGAGCCCGAGTGGTAGCTGGAGAGAAGCTGAGAGCCCTCTCAGCTCCCTGGCACCCACTGCCTCATTGGGGTCCCTTAAGGGACCAGTGGGGGAGAAAACAGTAAGATTACAATTCTGACACCATTTTCTTAAAGACAAAGGCCAGTTATGCCCATAGTTAGCTTCTTCCCTTTCATTCCCCCCCCCCTTTCTGATTAATAAAGGTTAGATGATCATTGCAGAAATTTTCACAAAGATCAGATACGAAAAAAAGGAAGAAAAGAAAAAGAAAAATCATCTTAAAATTCCTCTTGTATACTGGTATATACTGATTTCTTTGCTCCCTCTCTATTTTTTAGAAGCATTCAAGCTGGAAGGCAAGAGACTTGGTTTCTGGTCCTGGCTTTCTGTGTGACCTTGGGCAAGTCCCAGCCCTTCTCTGGGCCACATCTCACCTGTGAAATGAAAGTTTGGACATGGTGACCTCAGATGAGGCCCCTCACAGCTCTCACCTTCTGTTTCTGCTTCTGTTTCTGGGACTGGCAGAAGGGGCACAAGCAGGCTGCCCCTCTGCGGGGGATGCATGGCTGACAGCTCACAGCAAGTCACCTCCGGGAGGATGCAATGGCCCTGTAAACAGCCTTCATTGCAGGCACAGCGTTCCTGGGCCTGCCTGCTTGACTGGGCCCATATGGTGCCCCCTGCCAGCTGGACACCACCAGATGCCCCTCACCAGCCAGCCCTGGGTGACTGCTTTTCCATTAGGCTCCAGAGTGTTCTTTCTAATGCCCCAGGACCCAGCTGGCTCAGGGTAAGAGAGCTGGGATCTGCTTAGCCCTAAGGACCTACCTACCCATCACCACAGCCCTTTGTGACAGAAGACAGCCTGGTGTGTTGAAAAACTGGGGAGAGGGAAGGAGGGAAGAAGGGAAGAAGGAAGGGAACATTGACTTTATTCCAACTCCATTTGGACCTCTTGCTAGGCATTTGGGATTGAGAAATGAATCTGAAAAATGTAACTGCCCTTGAAGGACACAAAGTCTAGTCAGGGTGAGAAGAGTAGAAACAGACAGCAGCAACAACTGCAATGCCAAAAGCTCAGGCCTTTGGGGTCCCACAGGGAGAAGCCTAACCAATGGGTGATAGTCAGGGAGGCTTGCTAGAGGAGGCAACTTTATAGGTGAGTTCTCAAGGCAGACTCAGCCTTTCCAACTCATGTTATTTAATCCTTACAGACAGCCCTAGGGAATAGGTATTGTCTCCCCTTTTATAGATGAGGGTAAGTTAGGTGAGTGCACAACCACTAAAAGGAGGAAAGTTGGGTTCAAACCCCTGGCACTCTCCTCTGGTCTCTGGGCTTGGGTTTCAGTTTGATCCCAGCCTCTGACTCAGAGAGACCCTCAGTGAGTGCTCCTCTCCTGGGCCTCAGGCTCTTACTCTAATGTTGGCTGCAGTGTTGTTGGAAGGCTAAGGACAGAATGGCTGAAAAAGCACTTAATTTATAAATGGAGAGAGGAAATGTCAGCAAGGTCTCCTATCCAGCTGGAGATAGCACACCCCAGTCTTTCCCCAGACACAGAAACAGGACTCCTGCCTTTGAGCCAGGAGCAACCTCAGAGGCTGAAGTTTGCCTTGCTGAGGCACCACCTTCTAGAAGCAGCCAGAATATATGTGCCCTCCTTTTGACTTCCTTTGGCAAAGCCTGCTGGGATGGCACAGGATTCTAGAGAGAATTCTAAATCCTGGAGTTAGAACATCTGTGCTTGAGAATTTCTAGCATCCAGACTCTCCTCCAAGTGCCTCCTAGCAAGCAGGGCAGGGTCTGGGTCTATGTCATGCAGCACCTGGCCCTGGCAGATGTGAAGGATCACGAGAGATAGGATCCCATCTCATTTTACAGATAAAGGTTAAGACCCAGAGAGGGAAAGGACTTGTCTGAGGTCACACAGCAAGTCAGAGCCAGAGCTAACACTTCTTTCCCTATACCTCAGAGCATAACACCCAGGCCATACCACCTGAAGGCTACTTGGGGAGTGGGTTGGGCATGGGGAGGCCCAGTGTGCCCAGGTGATACCAGGGAGCAGCCTGGGGGCAACTGCGTTAGTAAGTGCAACTGGTCTTGCTAAGGCAAACTTTTACAGTACTGCCCCGTTCCCAGCAAAGTTCTACAACCTTCACCTCTCCTTCTAAGTCTCCCACTGCCCTGGGCATCTCCCTCCTCTTAAGCATGACACTTCCCCTCAGCCCTCAGTCTCCCAATTTATGAAATGGTTTCCAAGTACTCTAACGCTGCACTGTCTAGAGATCCTAGGCCCGCAACTCCAGCGGCGCGGAAGGCGCCTCGCGAACCTTCAGACTCCTACGGGGTGAGTAGTAAGGGGACTGGAGAGAGGGAGGAAAAGACGGCGTCTTCTCGGGCTTTGGGCTCCCTCCCTTACGGGCGCCCTTTGTCTGGACAGCCTCGGAGCA